CATGATGCTTCTGTCAGGCTTTGCTGGATTTGGCCTTGAACCAGTATGGGAGCTTCGTTGCTCGATCCTTGCTGCAGGATAGCCGAGTAGACGCGGAGGCAGCGTTAGGTCATTTGCAAGTTCGCCAAGCAGATGTGGAAGCCACCAAGCACGGGTCGCTTGTAATCTTGTAGACTGAAAGTTTGGGCTGAGGAAACACAGGAGTCTTTTTGACTCAAGGCGCTAAAGAATCTAGTTTTAGATAGGTGCTAGTGCTGAAACTCTGCGGCTGTCCAGCTGTGCGATCTCAGGCATCGCTTCCTCGTGGATGTGGGTGTGGTGTCTTGAGCAGTGACCGATTTGATGCGGACTGGCGGACTGGCCCAAACTTGTAGGCCTGGGGTACAGATCGGCCCACAGGTTTGACATGGATTGAATATTCTAGTTGAAAACACATCGAGACATGGAGTTGCTAGATGATGTAGCATGTATCATGTATGATCATGTATGTTAATTTTTTAAATTCCAAACTGCTGAGTCAGTTCAACTGTACAGTGCATGCACAAAGACGGGGTGACCAAGAAAAATCAACGCAGCTTCTTGGGCGGGGGGGGGCCAGTTCACCCCTCACGCGACGGCAGTCGATGATTTCGATGGCTGAATCAGGATCCTTTAAGCTGGGGGGTTTTGGATTTCATGGTTCTGGTCAGCCATCAACTCAGCCGATGAGACCTGGTCTAGTTGCTGCTTTGCTTGGTGTTTTGAGCTCAAATCAAGCTGGATATAGCTATAGATAGTTTTTTTCGGCCGGTGCTACACGGTCCCGTGGGTTTTTCATGTTCTCGATGTCGATGCCTGGAATGGCTGGGGCAGAGCAAGGCTTGTCTCACATGCAGCAGGTCATCTATTGGGTTCCCAAGAGCTCAGTTTCTGGCAATGCGACATGGTCGCCACAGATCCTTCCTGGTCCTTTCCACACAGAGACCCCGCAGATGGAGATGCCCACGGTAGGGCCTACAGTAGGGCCTACAGTGTCGGCAGTGGCAGCGCAAGATGCTCAAAGGTCTGAGGTGCTGCTGCAGACTCCGGTCGAAGCCAGCTGCACTTTGGTGACTCCTTGCAGCACGGAAGTATTTGGGCAACAAAAATAGAAGCTTTGCTGGTCTAGAGACAGGGTCATGTAGAGACTGTAGAGATGTCTAGACTCTACACTCTAGACTAGAGTTAACCAAGTTATTTATATATATTTTATATTTTTTTTTCAATGTTGCGGGCATTGGTTTAGTCTTTTTAGGCCCCAGATGACGACCTGGCATCCGCACCTCGCATGAGCTCCAGTGCTGCAAGACGCCTTCGCCGCAAGCGTGCGCTGGAGAGATCCAGAGGGGTGCATGAGCACGGTCATGTTAGACAAGATGGAGCGGTAGAACGATCGGAGAGAAGTTCATGCGACCTCACCATCGATGAACTTCGAGTTGAACTGCGCCGAAACACTGCACGTGGCATGCAGCGTTTGCGTGGACAGGTGTGGCGCCTGTCACGCGATGCAGCTGGCTGTCGACTGGTGCAAGAAGCACTTGAGTTGGGCGGTCGAGAAGCTGTAGATTTGGCGCATGAGCTGCAGGGCCATGTCCTAGAAGCGGTGACCTGTCCACATGCAAACTACGTGGTGCAAAAAGTTGTGTCACATTTGTCGGTGGCTGCCAGCAGCTTCGTTGTCAGAGAGCTCCAAGGAAACGCAGTGCGTGTAGCCAAGCATCGCTTTGCTTGTCGCATTTTTTGCCGCCTTTTGGAATTCTCTGGCACCAGTGCGACTTCACAACTGGTTGATGAACTACTAGAGACTGGAGAGAACCTTTGCACACACAGCTTTGCGCACCACGTGATTCAATCCATTTTGGAGCATGGCGAAGAAAGGCACAAGCATCTCATTGCCAAGATGTTGACTTCGGAGCTCTGGACACATGCGACCCACAAGAACTCCAGCTACCTCATAGAGAAAGCGCTTTGCTACTGTAGCCAGCAGGATCAAGAAGTCCTGGTGGGGAAACTGGGTCATCCTGAGGCTGGGGACTGCAGGGGTGCTTGCAAACATAAGGGGGATTCATCGAGGGTCTCCCCAGACCAAGGGAAGGGACGTTTATCAACTTCAATTTTTATGTGGGTACTTCCGCGACATAAAGTTGAATCGAAAGAGCCTTGCTTGGCTTTGGATGCTTCATGATGCTTCTGTCAGGCTTTGCTGGATTTGGCCTTGAACCAGTATGGGAGCTTCGTTGC